AGTTCTAAGTTAGGATCAGATAATAAGTCCATGATGAGGTGAGGCATGAGTTGATTCAGTAGTACATCAGTTGTATGGGGAATTCCCCTGGATTAAAGTTGTGAGAAGATGCAGTACGTCTTGGTCCTTCAGCAAGTCTTTAAGTTCACTGATGAGGCTAACAAGTCTGTGGGCTGTAGAAGTAGTCGTGTCCTTGGTCGTTTTTCTCTTTCGACTGGGACGGGCCTCGCACCCAGTGAAATTTGAGGTGTGGTTTTGCATGCAGTTGCAGCATTTAGCTGGGGAGTCTCGGCTCTTTCTGCACTGGAATGAATAGTGCCCTTCGGCACATTTCATGCATCTTGGGCTGGAGGAGCAGGAACGTTGGGTGTGGCCGAAACTCTGACATCGAAAACACTGCAGCGGCCGCCGGCCGCCGTGGTATTTCTCTATGCTGATCGGGATCTGCTTGATGCTCTCAATATGGTAGATCATCTCGTGATTGGCTAGCATTGTCATCTTAAAAAGTCTTTTTGAAGCTAAAGTGGTAGAAAATTTTTGGGTTTTATAGTGGTGACTTTTGACGTCTACTTAGAAATGGTAACGAAATATAAGAAATTAATGGATGTATGTGCGAATTTTAAAATTATTTTTGTATTTAAAAAAAATTAAATGAATTTATAGTACACGTTTTTAAATGGAAAGTGTAGAAATACCATAAGATGATGGATTATAGTTACTGTTTAAACATTGCAAAAGTTGTAATGCATACCTGCCAACTTTTAATCCCTTCCATTATTATTTTTCCCAGTGGTATTAAAATGGAATTAAAACTTCGATTTTAAGCAAACAAATACGTTGTATATGAGCAAACTTAAGTTAACAACCATGATAGTAACGCATATTAATATATGTGCTTAATTTTTGTAAGAAATGTGGTGATCAAAATCATTTAAAAATTAAGTTTATAAAAGAAAAAAAGTATATATTTACTACCACTTTAAATATGAAAACAAAATCTTCCGGAAAATCCGGAAGAGTTCGTAGGTATGGTAACGTACAAAAAGTGTGGTTCATAAATATATTTCAGTATCATAGATAATAGTTTGATCAGATATATCAGATATAAATAGTTTGAACCATGGATGGAAGCTTCTTACAAAACGCATTAAAAATATCGCAATTTTTTTCTCAAACTGCAAAATGTGAACTTACCGCCTTGACCCCAAGTACACGATAATGTTATAAACGCTAAACACAGACCCCAAGCCAGTCTGTGAGTGGAGCCATATAAAGTTGAGACAAAGACGCCTGGGTGAGCGTGCGCTCCTTGGTTCCACTTGTAAGTCAAAGTCATTATTGTAAAGAATGTCATAAATGATAGAAACCAGCCTATGGCATTAATATGCTGTTAATAAAAAGTTTAAGTTAGTCTGCAGTTATAATGAACAATATCATAAAGAGTTAAAATTCCTGATATATAATTTAATGAAACTATTTGCATTTGTAAGTGTTAAAGGAATTTAAATTATTATTAGTTAGAAACTGATTATTTTTGCGCATATTTACTCCAACGTTATACCTAAAACAGGGGTATAATCGGGATTGGAGATGCCAACTTGCTATGTTTTGTAAAAGAGTACTTTCTAGCGGAAACGAAATTTCAGTTATTTTTAGCTTAATATTGTAAGTCATTTTTTCCACCACTACTTATCAAAAATTTGAAGTATCATATAAAATGCATCTCTATTAATCATGTGGTTACTTTTCTAAAAAGTGAACGTTATAATCCTTATTCAATAAAACTTTTGCAGAAAGCGGAGCAGTTTCAATCCAGTTTATGGCGCCCGGGAACGACACCCCGTTTTTTAGCTCCCTTGCAATATCATTTTGGACCTGCCAAATCTGTGCTGTATCAATTGAAATTCCCACTACTACTCCTGCTGAATTACGTCAATCAAAGCTGGAAGATGATGAACTTCGAAAGATCATTGAAGCTTTAGAGAATCCCGAGAAACCAATAGACTTCGCCACCTGGACTGGTCGTGGTTATATCATGAACAAAGGACTGCTATACCGGTACTCGCCAGATTCAGATGAAGAAGAGGCGCAACTCGTCATACCCCTACAAAGAAAAACAGAAATCCTGAAGGAATATCATGATTCCCCAATATCAGGTCACTTTGGATCTGAAGGAACATTTCATCATATCGCAAAAAGATACTACTGGGATGGAATGAGAAAATATATAGCAGACTATGTTAAAAGCTGTGTTGAGTGCTGTCGCTATGAACCATCTAATCAAAAGTCTTCAGGGTTACTTCAAACTCTTATATACGCTCAACGCTTTGAGACCCTGTCAATTAACCTTTTCGGTCCTCTTCCGGAAACACCAACTGGTGAGAAATGGATTTTTATTGTCCAGGACTGTGCTACAAAGTGCACAGAACTATTTGCGTTAAGGGAAGCAACAGCCAGAGAGTTTGCCACAACTCTCATGGAAGAAGTCTTACTTCAATTTGGGTTACCCAGAAAAATAATAAGTGACAACGGTGTTCAGTTTACAAGTGCTGTCATGCAACAGTTATGCTATATCCTAAATATTGACCAATGTCTAACGCCTGTCTATCATCCTCAGTCTAACCCAGTTGAAAGAAAGAACAGAGAATTAAAAACTCGTTTGACCATACTGCTTGGTAATGACCATCAATCATGGAAAGAAAAGTTGCCATTCATAAGGTTTTCCTTAGACACTGCCAAATGTGAATAGACAGGACAATCCGCCACCTTTTTCCAATTTGCACGAGAATTACGAACACTTGATGATGTTAAACACGACATAAAAGCAGTTATTTAGAATGATAATTTCGTTCCGGAAATAACTCCTTATTTGAAACCAGAACTATACACCAAGTTCAGGAGAGAGTTGGAAAAAATCAGGATAAACAAAAGAAATATGCTGATATGAGTCACCGAGAAAATCCTATATTCAACCGTGGAGACAAAGTTTGGGTTAGCCTCCACCCGGTAAGCAAGGGTCATCTAAAGAAAACTAGTAAATTCATTCCAAAAAGAGATGGTCCTTACGTCATTGTTGCTATAAGACCTCCAACAACGTTCGATATTGCTGATCCCAATGAACCCGATAAGATTCTCGGCAAATATCATGTATCGGCCTAAGCCCCATTTTAAGAACACAATAAGTTTCGTGTTGCACATCAGATAACTCCAGTAGCTTCCTTGAGGAAAAGAGGGCTCCCAAAACGTATACAAGATGTTCAAGTAGCAACAGTTAAAATATATCCACAGGAGAATAAAAATGTATCCCAAATATATCCTTAAAATGTTTAATATCAAGACACCAATAGTAAGAAAGGTAACTTATCTTGATCATATGATAAACGGTAGATTAACCTGGAATGATCATATAAAAATCATAATTAGCAAAGTACACGCAGCAATAATCATAATCCAGCCTCTAATACACAACCGAAACTTTAAAGAAATTGGTCTAAAAAAGGCGTTGACAAAATATTTCCTTTTATATCCACTTACAACCTTTATGAACTAAAACGACAGTACAGTCAGGAATAAAAGTAAAATGTTTTTTGGTACACTGAAAACAATTGTAAAACAAACAAGATAATACTTCTGGTATATGGCCTCTTTTAGTCGCCAAGATGTAACCAACAATTAATCCAACAGCACAAACAGGAAGGTGAAAATGAATTGGTGTGTATCCTTTGACAGCATAAAAAAACCAATCACTGTAAAAAAAACGTATTTAAGAACTGAAAAAAAAACCTACTACGAAACAAACTACAAAATATTGAAGTCAAATACTTATTTGATTAGTCCTGTGCCTCGAGTTTGAGTAAAAAATGATGCAACAACTTATACGCATAATGCGTTGGTCAATAGCATGTTAAATTTTATAGCTATATAAAATGATAATTTGGGAAAATATACTTTTTCTAGAACAATAATAAAATAAAACAGAAATTTTTAAGCAAATATCTTAAGGGGTCACAGTACCTTTGCAAAAATTTTTTGAAATAAAGGTATAATCATTCATTTTGACGATGCCTTACATGCTCATTTAAGTTATAATCAATAATTTATCTTCAAAAAATGATTAAGCTGCTTAATTTTTTTTTAATTTTAAAAAAAGTTGAAAAAATTCTAAATTTTTAAATCCCTAAGGCTTTTTTATTTTAACATATTTTCAAAAAAAGTTTATTTCATAGTGCTTGCAATATTTATCTGAA